GGTGAGTGCTCTGAGTGTCTCCCAGTGATGCCAGCTTCTGAATCAGCTCCCTCTGTGGCTGGATTTACAGCGTGTGAGTCTTCTGACTGACTCCTCTACATTATCATTTCTAACACAGTTTTATCCTTTGTTTTATATATAGACAGTCAGTCTTTTGTTTTCCTCATGGTATTAGACCCTTTTCATGATTGATTTTGTTATCATTGACTAGCAAGTAAGTCTGTATCCATCATCATGCAGTACAGGAATACTGCTATTGGTCCTTCATTAATGTGTCTATAGCCAGTATGTCCCACTCTATACTTCCAATCATTGTATTCTGCTCACCTAGGACTATAGATTATTGTGTGTCTCCCTTACCTGTTGTTTGTGAACCCTCTCAGTCAGAACATGGCCATGGTAATAGGATGTAGGTATCTTCTCTCACTCCATATGTGCGGGGTACTTATTGTGTGCAAAGCACCTTGAAGAACTATCTTCCTCTTATCACAGAACCACATCTGCAATGTCAATTCACCTTCAAGCTCTACAAGTGCCTCTCAGTATTTGTCTAATTACAGTATTGTTCTTACCCTTTGCACTCATTGTGACCTCCTAGCTCTAATCCTTCTAATGGAATGGTCATTCTGGGTTAGGGGCAATGATGTTGTGGAACAGATCTCTAGGGCAATCAAACTCTTCAAAGCAAGCAATCAATTCCATGCTTTCATGCATGAAATAGCTGCACTACAACTTTGTGGTGATGAAATCACAATATCAGAGACTTTGGTCAAATTGATAGACTCATACAAATTTGTGAGTAGTGACTATAGTTTTGAAGTATTGTAGTCTCTCATCATCTTTTTTAGGCACACCCCAAGCTCAACTAGACTGTCTTGAAGGCCTGCTTATGATCAGGTGAGTCTATCTGGTGCTGTTAAACAGACACTAGCCTTATTGAGATGAGCCTTAGTTATCAGTTTTTCTTCACATAATCATTTACACAGATGAACTCTTCTCCTCCATAATCTGGTCTATGATTACATAGTGGATAGCCATATGAAGATTATGTATCTGTGAACATTGGGCTGATCACCTGTCATTTGAAAAAAAAACATACAACCCACATATTCATCCCACAGCCTGCCACAAATTTATTTCTACATAGACCATAAATGCACTTTGCAGCAAATATGGGTCTGACCAAGAATTGTGACCCCTCCAAACCCTTATTTGGAGGTTTCTAGGAAATTGGCCTATGCAAATATTTTCCTCACAGTCTGAATCATATCTTCCTGCATGATACTTCCATTTCCAATACATCCAGAATGCAGGAAAATCACTTTAGGAAATTTGTGGTCTTTGGCCATCTGCAGCTGTACAGTTGTGCTATTGTAAAGAAAATTTGAACAAACTGTCACTGAAGTTAACTGGCCATTCTTGCACTATAGTACTGGGATGAGTTACTCATCAGGGTACTGTGGGAGTCCTAGTAGTCAGACACCCTACACTATTCACTTTTCCCTACCTGCTATACTCCTCGTATTGGTTCCATTTCATGTGCAAAATGTTGGCATACATCATGTCTATCATTCTAAATTAGTTCTGTATTTTTTTGTACAATGCAGTAAGTAGAGTGTAGAAATATTTTATTTTCATCATAGCAGAGAACTGTGTACTTGGACAGCATACATAGCACCAGTTTCTGCTTCCCAAACCAGGCTGAAACTTGGCATTCCATGTCCCCTAATATACTGGACTATGATTCAGTACATTTGAGGGTTGAATGAGAACACATGCAGTGGATACAAATGTGGGAATGTGAAACATTAAAAATGGAGAACTATGATGACAATGGCAACAATATCTGAGTCAGTTTTCAGCCTTCCTTAGTAGAACTTAACAGCAGTGTTCACTCAAATCATAGCTTTCAAATGATATATTAACTGTAGTCTAATAGTATCTGGGGAGAGAGAAATAGTCCACTGTCTGAGTAGGCAGTACGTCTGACTTCCTGAACCACCACAGTACTGGTGGACTTGGAGGACTCTGCAAAATTCTGATGTCCAAAGTTGAGACAGCCCTTGCAGTAGTGTTATTTTTCAAATTTATTCAGAATTTGAGGGTACAAATAAATTTGCTTGAGAAAAATAGAGGCAAATAGCAGCAGTGACTGAACTACGTGGAGGACAATGAATGGGTGCCAAACCACTTTTTACTGGGGATTATTTCTTCAGACAATATATTCAAATTGTTTCTGGTGTCTGGCCTATTTGGCATAGCAGGGAGTCAGGCAAATACTGAGCAAAGCAAGTCTTATACCCAGAGCTAGCAAGGTCAATGTATGATGAAGTACAACAGCATATGCTGACACTATTCTGACATAATCTGCATGTATGTGATTTGTAAACCACTCAGCCTATCAATATACAAACAGCTATAACATGCACCACTACATAAGCAATACATACAGTTAGACTGTTGAAATGCTGTGGCAACCTTCCACCTCTGCCATAGTATGTTATAGTACATTGAAGTACAATGTCCAATGCTAAAGAACACTTGTGAGGTGGGCCACTGCTGCAGATGGCAATTTAACAAGTCCTAAGCTAGAGGAGGCCTCAGAATATTACCAATGACATTTCTTTGCCTCAACATCCCAGAGGTCCAATGGTATACATATCTAACATATCACAGCCATACAGAGTAAATCTAATCACATATTCTAAGTACTAATATGAGAGTACACATCTGCCCATGGACAAACTCAAAGGCACATGTTGTCTTGGACAAAAGGCAGGTGAATGTGGGTAGAGGTAGGGAGGGTAGAACAGTAAAAAGCCACAAAATGAAGTATAGAAAAGGCACAAGACTGCAGATTTGCACAGCCCTAATGGCAGCTGGTTTGTGGAGGTCTGGATAATTGATGTGATACCCAAGATCCATAACACCAAAGTGTTCTGGGTCACAAGGTCACAGAGTCAGGGTGAGGAGGAGAGGGACAGTGAAAGTGGTCTTTAGACTTTGCGTGAGCAACTGGAGATCAGCATAGTCTATATGACACTCAAGAAGATCTAGGACACAAGAGTGTTCTGGGTCCTGAGGTCATAGAATTGGGGTGAGGAGGAGAGGGGCAGAAATAGCAGTCTTCATGTGAGTGCATGGGATGTGGATAGTTCAAAAAGCAAGAGACTAACTCTTAGGAGGTAGTAAACCTGTAAGACAAAGATTTCAGGCTGCTGAGCCCCTACCCCAGCATTGAGATACCAGGCAGACATTGCAACCCTTGTATTGAACAACAAAAATCACAATTCAAGCAAATTACTTACCTTTTTTTCCATATAACTCTACTCACAAACCCTTCTCCCTTCAATTTAACTGCTCTAAATGCTTGTTTGGCCACTTGAGGCATGGGCACAATGGGGACAGATGTTGAGAGAGCAATCTCAGAATCAGGTGGCTAGGGAGTCAATATGAAGCTCTTCAAACATTGGAAAAGGTTGTGGTGTACACCTAGTGGAAGACCTAGAAGCTTAAAAGAAAACTAGAATGGACACTGTGATAAATCATGACATCAACATTGTCAGAGAGCACAGAAAGCCCATTCAGCCACTCATTATGAGCTGTCTACTTATTGATTCCCATGGTTAGAAACCCCAACACACAAATTCATACCATAGAAAACACAATATTGTGTTTTACACACAAATGTTTGTAGCCTGAGCAGCTCTGACTTATTGACTGAATCTGAGCTGCACATACCTGTTTGATGGGTACCAAACAGGTGACCTGGTCACAATTGCACCTGCCCATACCATGCAAGATAGTGCAACCTGCACAGCTAGTCAGAGTCTGATCAGATCAGACCTGTCCTGTCCTCTTCAGCTGCTTCCATTGACCTTTCAGACTTAGCTTTCTTCCTACTGCTTTGCCCATACTCAGACAGTATTTACCTTTTTACTCATAGATCTAAGATAGAACTTATTATTTTCTGAGCATAATATCTACCCAGTCTGAAGCTTAACTACAGCACAATGGCTCAGTGGTAAGAGCACCACAGCACTCTGCAAGAGGTTCCTGGTTCAATTCCACCTTGTGCCATTTTCTTGGGTTAGCTCATTTGACTCATCATCATCAGGTTCAATAGAACATAAGAAAGATGGCAAGCAGTGATTGGTCCATGGGTAAATTTGATTGTATGGTCTAGAATATTTGGAATACACCCAAATGGATAAAATCATTGTATGCAGATGAGCAGGATCTTGAAGTAGGTGACAGGTTGTGACCTTCATGATTTTCCATTATCTTATCTAATTTGATATGATTGTTATATGATCCTCTTAGCCAGTGGCCCCAAGATCAGCCCACATGGTCAGGTCCTGTCCACCTTTGACATTGGGGTCAAGCCCAAGCCCATGTATGTGCTGGTCAGGGGATGAACATCTGAACCTGGAACACAGTGAATACTCATGTACAATTTACTAGAATATTGTACAAAGAATGTGGTATAATACTGGTTATGTATGGTGATAGGCCTCCATGCACTCTGAGCCCTGAAAACACATTTTTCCACAACTTCTACAAGTTCTTATTCTGTCTGACATACCTCTGATATCATCCAAGGATATGCAACATTTTCTGATGATTTGCGACAATCCCTTGCATTTTCCAAAGATTTTTGATGTTTTGCAACAGTTTTAGCAGTTTTTGATCATTTCAAGCTGTGCTTTGGAGTTTTCAACATTTCTGAGCATTTTTCAAGGTCACCCAAGGCATTACACTATTTTGTGAGGCTTTCTGGTGATTTGCACATTTTCCCACAATTTTCTAGGATTTTCTGCAGATTTATCAACAGCAATCAAGTGCTATGTGATCCCATTGGTCAGCACAGCTCCCTCTAGGCCTTCCAGACCATGCACAAATGATCCCCACTCCAGAACAGTGATTCCAGCACTGCCCTATCAGCATGTGGACCACAGTCACAGCCCATCACTGATATCAAGTACAGCACAGCCACAGAAACTCAGATTCAGCACAGCCTGATAATAAGTGCCAATCAGAGCAACTTTCCTATGATCTGGACCAATTCTTACTTGTCTGCTTTAGGCATGTTTGTGGCTGAAGCATGTGCTTGGACTAGGAGGTATCATCCTCTACTGATTGTTCTTATTGTTTGCACTTTTGGAGTTGTGAGTGGCAGGCAGTGATGGTGGATCACTTCCCATTCTTTTGTGGGTTTTTCTGAGATTTTCTTTGGTATTTTTCAGACTTTGCGAGTTTTTATTTGATTTTGTATCATATATATACTGTACACATTGTACTGCAATACAAGCAATCTTTCTCCCTCAAGTTCAGAGTTATAGGAGTCCAAAAGCAGGCTTAGTGACCAGAGACAGCCTTTCCAAGTTTTTCTGAGTTTTTGCATTTTCTGACTCAGCACCACTCCTCTGTTTCTCAACCATTTTCATATCTTCTGGATCACGCTTTGCTCTATTCATCAAGGTGCTTCTATTCACATTGTGTCCAACCCTAACTGCAACTTTCCCACACTTTCTGGACCCTGTCAGCAGCTCAAGTTATTGCATTTCATGCAAAATCATCAGAAACACTCACAAATTAGTGCATTTTGGTGGAAACCTTTGGAAACTGCACACAGGACACCCCTATGTCATTTGCTCCCTCCCTCCATTGAACTAACTAAGCCCCTCACTTCATTAGGCCTCCTAGCATCCTTCATGGTGTTTAGGTGTGTTACCTCTCATAGGTCTCTTCCAGGGTCTGCTTTAGGTTCTCTTTTGGTGTTGTTGTGTACTCATGCCTATCAACAGTTAAAATAATGAGAGTATGTGCAATAACCAGAGAGGAGGGACAAAATGAGTGGCAGAGGGACTATAAATCTGATTTTTGTAGTTGTTTTGTAGTCACCACTACAAGGGGAGCATGAATCAGTACTCTAAATTTGGAGTGAAGACTACAAACATACAATCCCATGGTAGCTCAGCACTGACATTCACACACTACCTCAATTTGACACAGTGCTCTGTCCATCTGGGTAAGGACTCATAATAGGCTCCTGAAACCATCTGTCTATGCATTCCCATTCCTCACTCTGAGGGCATTTATACAATGTATTATTAGATTAGGTTACATAATCTAAATGATGACATGAGATAATTATATAACAGGCTGATTAAGAGGAAGAGAACACTATAGGATGGCTGGCCAAAATGATCATTGGAGATCACCAAAAGTGATGCAGAACCTTGAGAAAATTCAATTACTGCTGTTTTTGGAATGTAAGGTGTGGCGCAGCTTTTTGCATGCAAAATGGCCTCCTGAATAGAAAAATCTGTAGTGGCCTTTACAATGCCTGTACATGCATAGAAATTTGTAAACATTTTTTTTATTATATCAAAGAAACTTCTGAGAATGAAAGAACAAGAAATATCCTGCTAGAAATAATTGCTGTGTGAGGGTGCCCATTTTTACACCTTTCAACCTGCAGAGGTCCTGTGCTTTAATGTATGGACCTGTTGTGATCATGAGGACATGAGAGTATGTCTAGAAACTTGTTAAAAAAATCCCAGGGTGAGCAGCACACTTACAGTATTTTGAAAGCCATGACAGGGTATTTCACTTTACTCCACTGTAGAAAGCCAATCAAGCTTCATATTCACCCTGGACTTTGTAAAACCCTATCTACATGCATGTATACAGCCATATAAAAATGTTCCTATACTGCCTGATGTGTGGAAGGTGTATACCATGCATCTGCATTTCCCATCCCACTTTGCACCACATGAGTGTGACCCAATAGGACATGTGATGTCACATGCACCATGTAACAGTATCAGGAGATGCAGATGCATGGCATACACCTTCCACACATCAGGCAGTATAGGAACATTTTTATATGGCTGTATACATGCATGTAGATAGGGTTTTACAAAGTCCAGGGTGAATATGAAGCTTGATTGGCTTTCTACAGTGGAGTAAAGTGAAATACCCTGTCATGGCTTTCAAAATACTGTAAGTGTGCTGCTCACCCTGGGATTTTTTTAACAAGTTTCTAGACATACTCTCATGTCCTCATGATCACAACAGGTCCATACATTAAAGCACAGGACCTCTGCAGGTTGAAAGGTGTAAAAATGGGCACCCTCACACAGCAATTATTTCTAGCAGGATATTTCCTGTTCTCACTTGATAATGATGGATCTGCATTAAACTATAAAAATAAAAATAAAAATAAAAACAGAAAAATAGAAAAGCCATCCATGTGCACTATAGCCATGTGCATTGCAGCGCCACCACAGATTCAATCACCAAAATTCACAGTCTTTGCGTGCAGTGAGGTTCACCTTCTCAACTGTGAGTTCTTTGCGTGACAGACACTCCTGACAGGGCTATCAAATACACTTCAGATACTTCTTGAGTTATAGTCTACCTGCTATGACAACTTCAATTGCGTAGCTTCACCCTCTGCCCTCCTGGCTACCTCGACTGCATATTTCCTCTAGCAAATTTTTGGGCCACATTGATATGCACAGACACATGACAAAACCCACAGAAATGAGACCTAAAGCTAGACACAACCACACAGCAAACACCAAACCCTTGATGTCAGATGGCTGTGAGGCCTGGGGTAATGAAGGGTAATAATAGTTCAGAGGGGATGGGTGTAGGTGAGATGTATAGTTGGAGCTAAAGGAAGTTTGGCACCAAGTTGCTACTCGGCGGCAGTCTGAGGATAGAGAGTGACACTATGCACTATGTAGCACTATGTGCACAGTGCTGTGTAGGTGCTATATGATACTTCTCCTGCTTGGCACTGTATGGTCTTTGGTGCTCTATAGTGGAGCGCTACTTGCAGTCGTTATCTCTAACTCAGATGTATAGACCCTGGTTAATATGACAGATCAGCGATGCTATGCTGACTTGCTCTGTCGCTATCTCTGGGTGAAGTTGGAGGTATGCAAGAGTACCTAAACGCGAGTTGCAAGATGGACTTAGAAGAAAACTCTGACATGAGACTGAAATCTGAAGAGTGTGGTGAAGATAACTTGTTGTACAAAGCCATAGAGTAATGTCTTAAATACAAGAGAGTGACTGCTCTATGTCTGATCCTATCTACCTACTACTGTGAGTTGTGCCTCTGCTCAGCCTCACATCCATATGAGTCATACTGCCTTGCTCCTATCCCACATGCGATCCTCGACCAGTACCCCTTGCAACCAACTCTAGCACACATGCTGCTCTGCAGGTGGGAGCCAGTTGGGTGTGTCTTGACTTTGTGTTAGAGTGTGCCTACTTGATGATCCGGTCATGGGCTATGCTGCTGATGCTAGCGCAATCCTGCTGAAAGAGGGATAAAGGGCAGGGCCGCTATATTGTGTGGCAGTGTCGTGATAGCCGCAGTTGCGCCATGTGTCAATGCACACTGCATGCATAAGGAAAGTCATGCCAATAGAACTAGCACTGATCTGAAGCAATGGCGGGCTGTACGCCATATGGAAAGGTGTCCTGAGACACCGCCTTGGTTCAGATCATAGTAACAACATTGGGCGATGCATGCTGAGATGCCAATGACTTGACTGAATGATGTTCGGCTGACCCAGCTACTGAGGAGCCATTCTAAGTGCACCGAGGAGCTGAGAGCCTTGTCACTGGGGCATAGGGTCACTAGTGCACAGAGTACCGACAGTGCACTATTGAGTTGCTAAGTCGCCATTCCCATGAAGCACACAGAATCACCCTAAATCACATTTTCTGGGGTCAGAAGCCAACAGGGCCTATCACTCTCCCCTGGACTTTAAAAATGAACTGTCCTCAGTTTGCTAGCCATCACTCCTTTGCTCCCATCATTGCCTACCACCCTAACTCATCTACTCTTGCCTTCACTATGTCTGATGCTGCCTCGTCCCTTCACGCTGCTATCCAAGAGGTGGCTGATGCTCTAGCACATCGTGACTTTGAGGAGTCTCCCATGCTATATGCACTTGTTGGTCTGGTGGTGAGTTTGACTTGGTATTCTCCTTCTAGTGTAGTGCTAATGGCTTTCCTAGCCTATTGACGGTAGCACAGTGGTGCATGTGGCATGG